TAAAGGTATTATGACTTTTTTTTTAAAAATGCTGATTAATTCTTTGTTCTTTTTCCTCTAACAAATCTCATTAGACCCAATGTCTGTGCCCTCCAGCAAGTCATGGGGACAAAGAAGAAATACTTTAGCACTTGTCGTAATTGGTACCATGGGACGATCTGTGGGAAAAAAGCGTAAGTTTTAGAATAAATTCAGTGAATAAAGTCAGAAGTTAAAACTGGCTTCAACGTTTCAGACCATGTTTTTTTCAGTCTTTGCTCCCTGGTCCTCTCTTTCTTCTTTTTGAGATTTTTCATGGAAACTATGTTTCCACTTCAACAGACATCTGCTATGTTACTTTGAATTAAAATAAAATGCAAACGACACTCATGGAAGCAGCTCTTGACTCGTCATCTTGAGAACAATTGTATGCTATCCCATAAACTCCAAAGAGAGGTTTTATGGCAATAGATGCCTGGTTGTCATGGGACACCACAGTGGTGAACCACTTATTCTAGATGATGTGGCTGCAAAATTTTGAATGCATTTAAGAATGGAAAGACATTCTGTTCAATCATTTAAACCTCTCATTCTTCTATGATTCCAGGAGTTAAGCCATGTCTACTTTTAAGGGTTTCTCTGGTTGTTTTTTGTCTTTCATACCTCTAGTAAAGTTGATCTTCGTGCTTGACTAAGTCATGCACAGCCTGCCAAATGGGCTCAGTTTACAAACCTGGTAAATGGAGTCATCCCATTTTTTCCCAAAAGAAGTAACATTTGTTTAATAGTATCAATCAAAATGCAATTATGCTAAAGATAACATTGTAAATAAAACCAACAAATATAAACTTGTGCTGGAGATGAAAGATCTCCAGCTCAGTCCCAAATTTCAGCATGCTCAGACCATTTAATTTTTTTTTAATATTGCAGTGTAATAGACCAGAAATCAGATCATATATTCTTGAATGGGTTTTCTCCGGGTGCTCCAGTTTCCTCCCACAGACCAAAAACATGCATGTTAGGCTGATTGGTAACTCTAAATTGTCCCTAGGTGTGAGAGAGAGTGAATGGTTGTTTGTCTCGTTTGTCTCTATGTGTCCCTGTGATGGACTTGCGACCCGTCCAGGGTGTACCCCGCCCCTCGCCCAGTGATTGCTGGACATGGGCACCAGCGACCCCCGTGACCCAAAATGGAATAAGCGGGTAAAGATAATGGATGGATGGATGGATGGATGGATAATAATAATAATAATAATAATAATAATAATAATAATAATAATAATAAT